TTCCCAGCCACTTTTCCATAGTGATGATATAATTTGCCACTGCTCTGAAGTGCAACAGTGTTCTAACTATAACCTGCATATTTTTTGGTGACAATGAAAGAAAGTTAATTTAATTGACAAGTTTATGTTGTTGGAGTTACAGCCCTGCAAAGTGAAGAGCAGAATGAAACAGCTCTACATAAAAACACAGCAAACATAAACAGGAAGCAGCTGGCAGGTGAATACTGTGAATACTTTAATTGCAGCAGAAGGACAAAGAACAAGAAGGACTAGATGTTGGTGAGTGTAAGCGGACTATCACTGTATGACTTTTTTTGTGTTTATGTAGCTATTGTTCTTTATTTGCTAAAAAAAGCAGTTGCTAATTTGGTTTTTAATCTCAGAAAGTAATATTAAAAATTCATCAAAAATCTTAAAACACTGTACAACAACACAGCCTTTTCTAGGAGGAATGTAACAGAAAGCCTTAAGGATGTTAAAACAGACGTGGCATAAGCCGATTAATGACTTGAAGGGTTTGTGGTTTCAGTATTTTCTAGGGTCTTTAACAGCTACAAATACGTAAAGAGAAGGCCACCTCATTATTCTGCTAACACTTTCCCTTTTGGTTTGATTTCCACCTCTGGTTTTCAGTCCTAATGACCCGCTGCCATAATTCACACAGAGGAAGATCTGGAGCTCTTGGGCGGCTAATTGGCACTTCAGTGAAGTAAGTCTAACCGTCTTTGCATTTGAAATATGGATTTTCCAAATTAAATATTGCCATCTTTGGATGGGTCGTTGCTGCCACACTGGGAGAGGTAATGTTTTGTTGTAAGTAAAACAGAAAACATCTTCATCACTGTCTGTATTTTTGTTTCCTCCCCCTTCATTGATTTCTCTTTTTTTTGAAGCTAACACTTTTCAAGCTCGCTGATGAAAACCATAACTTTGACAGAGGGAGGAACTGCAGGGCTCTGCTGTGATTACACCCCAGTCCACTGATCCCAATCAAAAGATGAATGGGTGTGATACATGCACATCCTGCAGCCAGATCTCCAAGGCTTTCTGAAGCCTCCTAGGCCGAGGCAGAACATAAAAAGTTTTAGGAATAAGACATTCCAAGCTTTAATGTGCCTTTTTGCTGTTCTTGTCATGGGCAATCGCAACTCGAGTAGTTAGTTGGAACAAAAACCCGAGGTTGCAATGCTTCTCTTTCTGCGAGATGAAAGCCAAACTCGGCAATAAGTGGATGTGGCTCTGCTTTGATTAAAGAACAGAGTCTGATAGATGTGAGCATCACAAACCCTGAGCCCGGCAGAATCTAACCTTTGATTATTATCAGCTGAGGATTGATTTAAAAAATGTCCTAATTACCTTTTAAACGTCACAGAGGAACCACACAGCAGAAGAGCTGGAGCTCTCTCTCTACAGGCAGTGGACCTTTCTGCAATTTGAATTGTTAAAACCTTTGTCGTAAAATAAATCAGAAATGAAGAGATGGGCTGTGATTGTTTTGTGTACTATACAAATACATTACAATACACTATAGTTGAATCGTTCATTAGAAAATTCAGATTGTGGTTCAGAACAGGCGTACAAAAACAAATTGCCAGTTAGAGCCAGAGTCTTCCAGCTAGAAAAAGTTAGAAAGACAGAACAACAGAGGTCCAGAAGTAGAGGACAAACCAGAACCAGCAGCAGCCCTGCCTTCTCTCAATAGCACTTTGAGCTATAATTGGTAAATAGCTGTGGTAAATTGGTGGGTGTTGATCATGAAAAAATCCAGACATTTTTGACTTGTAAAAGCTAGGTTTATAACTTCAGTACTCCAACAATGTGTATCATTTTTCATCAAGGTAAACTTCATATCTGAAGAGGAATGCTTTAAGCTCTTAATAAATAAACCTGTTATTGAATTGTTATTTTGTGTTGCTCAAAAAAAAAGCTAATTTGCAAGTACTACATGTTTCTATATTTTGGGTTATTTTGATTTGCTAGTTATGATTGGTTGTCGAGTTGTCTGATTGGACGAAAAAGTGATTGGTTGGTGGTGCGGCTCACTGAGTCTGGCAAAGACACAGAACCAAAAGCTTGCCTGAACAGACACCGAGTGAGCGTGTGTGAGATGAAAATGAACACCCCATATATTATTCTTTGTTCAGATGGGTATATGTGCTCACATCAGAACACCATGTATACATACACAGAAGGTTGCTTTTACGACATGCTGACATCTATGCTAGCTAGCTTTATCTTTATACGTGGCTCATTACTTTATTTGATGAAGGCGTTAGCTTGTAGACAAGTAGAGACAGACAGATGGATTTTCGGCAATAAACAACAATAATGAAAAACACCAGACTTCAAACTCTTCATGCCTGGCAGCCCGCCAGGCTAATAATGCGCTGAGGGAAACCCTGCTGGTGTCTTAATAATCCCTTCAAGGGTTTTTAAGGGGAATATTAACCTCATTGTGCTGTCAAAGTGATCTTGATTACAAACATAACCTTCATAAACTGATTTTAGTCTAGGAGCAAACTCTATGTCTCCATGTGCCTGCAATGAAAGCAGCTTTTTTTTGGCAGTACAACATACTGTTTATGTGAGCAAAGGGAAAAGAGCAGAATTAAATGACAATGACATCCTTGACATGCGAATTGATGAGTGACATCATGACCATAAGTTGATTAAGTAATGTGAACTACTGCTTGTTGGAGCTCATAACTTCGCTTTGAATGTTTTGAACTATGAACATAAATTATTTCCACTGAAGATGGATGGACTGAATTTAGAAGCACTGAATTGGCACAGCAACGGGCAAATATGGGCAACATATTGACAGATGAATTTGGGACCTCTTGCATCTCTGGAGATTCAATTATTTATGATAAAGGTCAAAGTTCACAACATAACAATGGTGGCTTATTGTTCATCCAAGGCACTTTTTTACATGATTGACATGAAGTAATAGCTTAATGGGGGCATTACTGTGGAAGTCCCAAAGCAATTAATTAAGAAGTATTTACTCATAGCTTCATTTTTAGTGGTCTTCTGCTTTTGGGAGGATTTGCATAAACAAGCTTTTACTTGGTTCTAATTTTGATAATCACACAGTTACATAATTATAATGAGCTTACTCTGTAATTTATCCCAGCTTCTATTATTTTCATTTGTGAAAGCAGGTCAAGTAAAATGTACAGCATACAAAACCAATTCCACCTGCCGTTTAAAGCTGCAGGGAAAACATAGCTGGTGTTTGCTGTCCTCAATATGGAGGAAAAAGCGAAAACAAAAAAAAGTTGGAATTTGTGTTGCTGCAGAAGACACACTGCAGAAACAGGAGGAAGTGTTGCACAATAATCTGGCACTCAAGTGAAGGGTGAGTAGGCCTGTTGTTTCTGAGCCGTCACCTTGGTTTATTTCACAGCGATTTACAATAAAGCCCGGAAAGTCTCTGTATGTGGGCCGCTGCATCAACATATTCTGAATGCCTGCTGTAGCTGCTCTACTGCACACACAGCCCAAAGGCGATGAGAAAAAAAAAAAAATAGAAGGAGGCCTCAGAACGGATTCCCTGTCCCCTCTGTGAGCTGTTTAAAGACCATCATGGTGTTCCCTCTGAAAGTCTGTTTTGTATTTAACTCTTCAAATACACAAGCGAGGCCATTTATAAGACACAATACTGATTTTATGCACAAAAATAATGAGTATCCACAAAATGGGATTACTGCCTGCTTTCATACTTCACTGAAATTAGAAAATCAATGCGCTCTAATCTAATTTCTATTTGAGAAATCTCAGGTTGTGTTGGAATGCCAAGGGCTCGGGGAAGAAGAAGGTTATTTTAAATAGGTCTATGCATGGGAAGCGTGAAAGAAGCTTAAATCTTCTGAGGAAAACTTCAGTGACATCGAGCGCCTCTTAAAAGTAATTATACTTTGAAGTTTTGCTTATTTTGTTACACCACAGCCACAGTCTTAAAAGTATTTGAATTTGATGTGATAGGCTGACACAAAACAGAGAATGTTGGTGAAGTGAAATGAAAAGAAATGGTTTTCAAAATATTCTGAAAATATGAAAAGTATGATTATTAGTTGTTTGCATCTGAGTCAACTTTCATGGCAATTCCAGAAGCAAATCTTTTCTAGCTCTCAGGTGCTGCGATTCACACTGAACTGTATCAAACGAAGCAAACGCTTTAAAAAACCTGTTCCCCTCCTCACCAGTGGTGGTACCACAAACCACTGAAGGAATTAACATAGAAACATCTGAAGAAGACGCTTCAGACGTTTCTTCAGAAGAACGTTCGCAAAAATGGAGTAGAATCAGATTTTAATGGTTGTAGAATTTCCTCTTTTGTCTTTGGTAAAACATAACAAGCCATTTCTCCTGCTTGAATTAGACAAGCCGTTGGTTAGGCCGGATTTATCTAAAATGCCCTACGCTATAGTCCGTTTTTCCTGCATACCAACTTTGCGTTCACATATTCAATCAAACTGCATGTTTGATTGAATTCACTTTAACCAACCTGAGACATATGTTTGTAGGTGGACCAGAGTTCACTTTTTTTGTTCCACATCAGAGTTAAATTGCATGTTCACGCTCCCTCAAACGAACGAGACATTCAGGGCAAATCAACAAGAGTTTGATGAAAGCAGACTAAACAGGGTTAGTGTGAATGTACTCAAAGACATTGCCCCCTATCCTATCAGAGACAGGTAGCATCTCTGAACATGCATTTGCAACAGGTTCTCAGTTGGATTCAGTTCTGAACTTTGGCTGGGTCACCACTTAAATTGTGGTTCTCTGGGTTTACGGCTGAACCTCTGCCCTAGTCTCTAATCGTTTGCAGCCTCTAACATAATTCTTCCAGGACTTGCTCTGTGTTTAACATCATCAATCTAAGTCTGAATAAGTCTATAGGGAACCAGTTCTTTTCTTGTTGTGAGGGTTAGGGTTAGGGTTAATTAATTTAGAACCAGAATCTGTGGAAAAGCTTGGTGTGGAAGTGAACTCACCCTCTCCTCCTCCTCTCTGAGGTCCGGCATGGTGCTGACGCACAGCGTCACCGCGGTGATGGCTACAAACAGCACAGACAGGCAAGCAAAGATCTTGCCGGGCAGGCCGGAGTGCGGGTTCTCCACCATGTCCCTGAGCCTCCGCATGCAGCCCCCCGAGAGGGTCTCCTCTGGCCCGCCCGGAGGCTGCTGGCTCTCCTCGCAGGACTGTGGGGAGGTGAGCTCGACTTCCTCCTCCTCCAGCCTTTGCAGCTCCTTGAACTCCTCCTGCCTGAGGCGCAGCTTGCGGAGGCAGCACCACTCCAGGTTGTTATCCTCCAGGCCCCAGTAGAGCAGCTCCTCCTGGAAGGAAAGGGCGCACATCTCCCTCAGCAGCCTCAGCTTCCCCGCTGCCAGGAAGGTCACTATGATGCGGAAGGCAGACGGGTTGCGGTCGAAAAAGTACTCGTTGCGGCTGACGTCGTAGTCGTCGCACACATCCATGATCTCGGCCTCGTTGCTGCAGCTGCGCAGCTTGCCAAGTCGGGTCAGCGGGAACTCGTCCAGAGTGGACCAGGGGATGAGATACTTGATCCCCCCGACGTTGATAATGGCCGCCCTGTCGGCCAGGCCCGCTTCGTCTCCGTCCTGCTGGTTCGGCTGAGGCTGGAGCAGAACCTGGGCTCTCTTGTAGAACAAGCCCTTCTTGGATGTGACTTCCTGTGGATTTTCCACGCGGTTAAAGCGGAAAGGGGTGAACTGGTGGTCAGTGTTGCCTGCCAAGAAGGCCACCTCCTGGTACATCACTGCGACCCGGCTGGGGGAACCTGTCCTGCACAATGCGTCGAGTGTATGAAGCGACTGGAGGCTCGTCACCCATTCAGCATCAAAGATCGCATCTGTGGAATAATAATAACAAAACAAAGTAAATATTTTTCTTTAAACAAACTCATTTAAAGAAATTTCAATAAAAATTCCTTAAAATGTTTGTTATTGCTAATCTTTAAACCCAAAATCTAAAGACCAAACATTTAAATAAAAAGCATCACCAGTCCAAGAATGGAACCCTGGGGAACTCCACCAGAGATAAAGGCAAAAAATGATACAGAAATAAGGAGAGCAACGAAACGATAACCCTCTCACTGTCTTATCCAACCGGGGCACACTGACCCAGTGAGCGCTTTTACGGGTTTGTGTGTGTTTGTAGTTTGGGGAACTGATGTCACAAAACAATGTCAACATCGGACATCGCTTCCTCGATGTCCGATTGTGATGTCTCACATGCTCCACCTGCGCGTCGTGCTAAGACCAGGAGAGGTTAAAGCTTCCCTAAAACCATTAAGATCTGAAATTCCCTGTTGATGAGCTTAGAATATTCACATTGCCTCAGATGGGCAATCAGAATATTGTGGTCTACATTATAAAAAGGTCAAAAATCATGAAGAATATGTAGCTAAAGCCATATCATTCAACTTCTTTGCTTTTTTTGTGTGACAAAGAGCTTTACAACCAGACTGAAAGATTTATAGACATAAAAGTTAAAATGTTAACTAACAATGGATTGGAACGTCACCATTCTAATATGTAAAGTTTTAAAATACACCATTGGTACGAACAAAATACAGCCTTCTTTCAAATTGAGTTTATATATGAGGAAGTAATAAAAATGATTTGTTCTTTGTATCAGGTTCTCAAATTATTCAAATCTGTCTTCAGATGTACATAAACAAACACACACTGTTGTTTGTTTATGTCTATCAATATGGAAATGATTATCAGCTCTTTTCCGATTTGTTTGACGTTCATCCTTTTATGGTGAAAAGGGAAAAAACACAGCCAGCTTTCACAGGAATGGAAACCCAAGCAAATTCTACACAACTTTCAATAATAATAATATTAATGATGTTGAAAAGATCCATGGTTCTTCTTCTTCAGAGGAGGGAAGTGAGCAGACATGAGAGCCGAGGTCACGAGTTACTGTAAATAAAATCATGCATGTCAACTCAGCATTCATCAATGAAAATTGGACCCATGAGCTTGAAGCAGACATGTTTACCCACAATCCACAGCAAATTAAAACCCATAATGTCAACGCAAACATTCATCACTAACCGCCAAACACAATCATGAGATGGTAGAGTGATGACTTGTGCTTTTATTGTTGCAGTCATTCCATAAGATTTATGGGCTGTACTTTTTTACTTTTTTTTTTTTTTTGCCTGATTTGTGTTCATTCAACAATAACAAATTGCCTCTTATTGTGTTTCTTGATGTGAGACCTTAAAAGGTTTTTTTTTTAAGTTAGACCAACCTCAGAAAGATGAGCAGATGCCTTTAAGTTATGTGCTATTTTGAAAAGCCATTTGATCTTAACTTATGTAAGACATAGTAGTCTGACTCATCAGCTGACATGTATATTTCAGACTCTGAATGTCTAACTCCCTCCCATCCCTCATGCTGTGACAGGAAAGTGAGTAATTGGACTACGTTTCTTACTCGACAAAAAAAAAAAGAGCAAAGTTTTGTTTTAAGAAGACGCTGAAGCATGATGACTTTTCTTTTAACGTCCAAAAAGCATGTTTCCTGCACTGTAATTGCAACAGCGCCTGAAAGCGCAGCATGCGGACGCCATGCTGCGCTTTGAACTCACTCAGCTTTAATTAAATTTGTTGCTTTTCCATTTTACCGCATCGACGGCCTGTTCTGTTGAACATACCGCGGGAGATGCACTTCATCGCTTCGACCTCGCCGCTGCACACCGAGGCGAATGTGAAAACAAAAGAGCCTCCGCTGCCGCGTTTAACAAATAACGCTTGCACACTGGATGCTCAATGTTTAATCTTGTGCAGCGGGGGCTTATGCATTTTTTAGAATTACACTGAAGCACTATCTATAATTTGATGCCGACTTTTTTCTGTGATCAACAATAACTTGTGCAGATGCAGTTTTTTATGAAATGATGTAGGCATTTCACAAGGTATAAACAATGTAAGTTTATAATGATACATAGCTCTGGGAACCATATCTTTATCTGATCCCTGTGGAAAAAATGGATGAGAATTTTGTTTCAAGTCATAAAAAGAGTTTTAGGCACAAAAGGAACTGGGGGAAAAAAAAGTAAGATATAGAAGAATAAACTGCACAAAATCACTAACTAGCTCTTTAGAACTGATTTCCCTCAGTATATATTCAAGGAGAGTGGCAGGAGTATTTTTTTCATGGACGCACCAAATGAGTTCTTTGTCTTTCTGAGTGGAAATATTATCTGTGATCTTCCAAAACATTTGTAAAGAAAGGTGGATTTTTTTTCAATGTATGATCGTCTGCCTCAGCAAGGTTTTAATGGAGAAATAGTCCCTAACTTTCTCTTCCTCAAATGCTGTTGCTGAATCTCACTGCTGGCATCGATCGCTGATTTCAGTGTTTATAGAAAGATTATGTTTTAGTTACGGTTAGATCCAAAATGAAACAGATTTTGATCTTTTCTTTTCAATCAAACACAAAACCTGTTTCTGGAAACGAGAGTTTTTGTTGTGAAAAATGAGCAATGATTTTTTTTTTAATCTGTATTTACTCGCCTTTTTTCACTCACCACTTGGTGCATTCAAAACAAACAATGCAGACAGGTATTGATCTACAAAATAACCAATTTGATAAGCAAAGAGGAGAAACAACAAAAGAGCATACATGTTTTCAACAAGTTTTTTCTTTTGAGTAAATAATTCCTTAATGTGGATTAGAAAAGTACTACTTCTATTGCTAGATTATTGATATGTCACTTATGACATGGGAAAAGGGTCATTGACATATAAGGATTTCATCCATCCATCCATTTTCTGAGCACCCTTCTCCCTAACGGAGTCGGGAGGTGCTGGTGCCTATCTCCAGCTGCGTTCCGGGCGAGAGGCGGGGTCACCCTGGACAGGTCGCCAGTCTGTCGCAGTATAAGGATTAAATTAAATGTTTTAAAAATCTCCACTGCAATTATTAAAATATTTGAAATGTTGTGCAAACAAAAATCATAATTAAAATTAAATCTTTTGAATGATTTTTCATAAATATGTGTTGCTGTGGTCTTAAAAAATGCCATGTGGGACTGATTTATCTTAAAATAAGATATTTCCCATGATATACTAAACATTATTTTCATAAGTTTCTATTTATTTATTTTCCATTTTTTTGGTATGTTTAGAAACATTTTAAACATTTTTTTTATTTATGTGGCAATTATGACAGCTTTTTCACCCCCAAAAATGAACCAGTTCCATGTATAATTCTCTTGTATTTTTTTTCACCATTTCATCAACCGGATAAACACCAGTCACTTGATGGTACCAACAACCAGACATTTTGAAATGTCTTGTCTTATTTTATGTGTACTAAGATATTAGCACCAGAAACTAGGCCAAAACTATAGGGTAAGATTTTGTGTTTTTGCTCATACAGCTTTTTATTATTCACTGGAACTCTGTAAGTGATTCCTGTCCTTACTGGTTTACAATCCAACAACAAAGACAACAAAATGACAAATCGTGAAAAAATGGTCAACGAATTTTGGATGCTTTAATTAGGACGAAACAACTGAAGTGCAAAATTGTACTTTTTATGTTTGCCTTTTGTAAAACTTTACAGTTGGTGTTTAAGTATTGTATATAATTTATTCCAATAACACGTAGTTACCTAGTCAAAGTTTTAAATTTACTGTACTTTTTTTGTGTCAGAAAATCTCAGGATGTGTCTTTTTAACATGCAAACTGTTTCTAATTATAGAAATTTCCACAATTTGCCTATAAGTTACATAGCTACTCATTTGACTCTTTTTGGTTTATGTGGAACAATGTGAAGACAGAGTCAGATAGATTATAAAACCCAAAGTTTCCCTGTTTTTGTTTTCTCTACTTTATCATACATGACCCAATACCTGCAACTCAGGGGACACTAAATGCGGCGTTGTTCTTTTGCCACCAGTTGCTCATGCAAACCAAATTTGCATGACTCTTTGCATAAATCAGCAATCTGCAAACCACTGATGCCCTCCCACATCCACTCCATCTTCATCTCTGCAAGAGGCCTGAAGGACTCATATAACGAGAGCTTAAATGACACTGAACCATTACCTTTCTGACTGGTCTCTTCAGGCCGTTCCTTTTTATTCATACTCCACTCCAGATATATTAGGGCATTTAAGTCCTTTGTCTCAAAAACCACAGCTGGAAATGAGACAATAGAGAAATAGAAATGTGTCTTGTAATCTAGAAAGATTGAAAATGTCATGGTATGAATTAAAAGAGTATGTTTCACAGAATAATGATGCCTACGGCTTTTCAGCATTGGGAAACGACAGAGGCTCGCCGTTTCATAATAATGAGTCACAGAGGCTGATGGTTATGTTCAGAAAGTAGCTCGATTATTGATTCGACGTCCGATGTTCTTAGCTGGAAATGGAAAAGCAGCACAGCTGGCTTCTTTCGTATGAATTATAAATGTGCTGAATGGGTTGACGGTCTTTAATCCAAAGCTCGTTATTAATGTACTCTGAAAGCCCAACAATGCGGCAACACCTTTATGCAGAGTGGAGCCGCTGAACAGAACGCAGACTTGGGGCGCGTCCAGCCACGTGTCCGAGCGGGACGGCTTTCTGCAGGAACAAAGAGCCTGGAGAAGGTGAGGAATTTCAGTAATACATGTTGCTACTTCCACAGAGGAGCTGTAAGGCCAGGAAAGTTTCACAGGACGAACAATTTCTCTTCTCTTACGGTGTCTTCACACCTGATTGTCCAGTACACTCAGCTTGATTGGGGAACAAAATTGCAACATCCATTATATTTTCAGCTGATGCCGCTCGCTTTCACACTGTTCTGTGTCAAACAAAACGAAACCTTTGACAAAGTTGTTTACCTCCTCGCCTGTGGGGGCGCTACACCAAGAACCACTGAAGGAAATGAGACAAAAACCTCTGAAGAAGACATGAATGCAACGGAATGTAAGCAAAAATGGGTGTAGCGTCAGATATGAGCAGTTATTTGATTTCTCCTTTGTCTTTGGAAAAAGACCACAAGCCATTTCTACTACTAGCACTAGACTCTCACGTTTTTTTTGGGTTGTATTTACCCAGAATCCCCTGCGCTACAGTTCGCAGAGCATCCACAAATGCATTCACACCACACCAGAGTTCACTTCAACAGAACCAAGAGCTATGTTTTTAAGTGAAGCAGAGTTCACTTTTTTGCTCTGCATCAAAGTTTGATTACGTATTCACACCTCCCCAAACAAACCAGACTTTCTAGGCAAACAAAACCAGAGAAATGTGGATTCGAGTCACATGACTTGGAATCGAGATTAATCAACTTTACTCTAACTCCGACACGAGACCTCACTTGGACTTGAGTCGTTAAACTTCTATCTTACACCAAAAATAAAGTGTGTGACAGCAGAACCGTGCCTGCTGAACAATCCAGCCCACTGTGTGCCTCTGGCTATTTGCCAATGTTTTCTCCTCCTGTTGCTGCAGCAAGCACAATGACTCTCCCGTGTTGTTTACCTGCTTTTTCTTCTGCTTCCTCCAATGAAAGCAGAAAAAAGCCGACAGAGGGAGAGAGGAGCTGTCATCTGCTGCCATCAAAAAGGAGTACAAAGTTGAGAAAAGAAGGAAGAAAGCCGTGCCTGGTATCAACCAGGATACGAGGCAACATCAGTCTGAACAACTGTAACGGTAAGACACTGTTAGGAACATTTTCAATCCAGCAAGCGAGTGTCTCAGGATGGATTCTTAATTGCGAGGCTGGAGACAGTGGAGGCTGCCAGCGATTGTATGGACATGTTGGTTGAACTGCAATCTACCAGACTTTAAACTCATGTGGCAACATTGCCAGTATTTCAAGTATCCAGATTGAAAGATTTCCTTACTATGTATCCACAGCTGATCTCTGTGTTTTCTCAACCTCAAGCCAAGTCGTTTCATCCGAGCTGGCCAATAGCAGAACCATGTTGAACAAAGCAACTTGATTGGAAAGTTCACTTTTGTACAGTTTTTTTTAATGCTATAAAAAAATTGCTCAGAATGGAAACAACAAGGCTTGGTGTAAATTCAAGCCTTGTTGAATTTACACCAAAATTCGCCTGCAGCGTCTGTCACCTCATCACAAGCCTCCTTCTGTCTGATGGGATTCAAGCACCAAATAGTTTTACTTATCAAATTCAAATAAACTTTTTGATAACTACTTTCTCTCTGTGTTTGTCTTTCCAAGTTGGAATGCAGTTATTTTATAGTTATTTTTGTATCCTGGATTAGTTTGTTCATTCTTGTTTGCAGACGGTGGCAGTTTTGGTCATTTCTCAGTAAAAACTACAACATTTTCTAGGGAATAAAAACTGAGGATACTGTTTCAGCAATGCCAGCTCCACTAATAACAAATTGATGGTTAAGTGGATCGCCTCGACACCGGGTAAAATTATAAGAAGTTTGTTTTACCGAGATAATATTGCTCATATCCTAGATATATTAATATTTTTTCCAAGGTGCCTTGTCTGTTCCAGCCTACTTAGGGCATTAGTGAACCATTTTGCTTTGTTTTGAACCAGAGAAATCCACTTCTGGACCTCCATCTGAATTTTGCGTGTCATCCGGGTCACGTGTCTGAAATCCAGCAATAAACTCCAAAATCTATTTTTTTATCATTTAAGCAAAAGTGATTCCTTTCTCTCTCTCACACACAGCTCTCCGCAAGTAACATTAACTCAAATCTTATACCAAAATTTTTAAAAAGAACAATGTTTTTTCCACATCCACTATAATATTTTGTGTCTCCAATGCCATTGAGGTTTCGTGGTAGAAAACACACCATGGAAGAAATCAGTCAGTGTATCTGAACTGGAATTGTGAAGTTGCTCATTCACTCAGCTACTCAGAACATTGACATAGATTTACTGTAAGTATTTTTTAAAGTATTTTGTTTGTTGCTAACCACTTTTATCCATTCACTTAATGCATTAACTCTACCTCTACTGCATTCTCTCCTTGACTCTCTTTTCCGCTCTTGCTGTTTTCAGCTGTTTTGCTTTCTATCGACTTTCCCTGTTAACTTCCCTCTCTTTCTTATTGACATAGGAAAACTCCTATTGGGATGAGAAAGAAGTGAGTCTGCTACTACATGTGTGAACAGTAATATTATTTATTTTTCCATCATTCTGATTCCATAAATTAGATGACTGGAAACCCTTTAACGGGTTTGCAAAGTTTCAAGCAGCACTGTATCCACTAGATCTGATTTCAGCGTTTTCCGGTTTATGCTGACATAAAGGATGAAACTATCCAAATATTGTCACAAATGAACTGGGTTAGGAAAAAAAATAATGCACAGGCAGGTTTCTGCATATAACATGCACACTCAGGTTTTTATTAACAGCATTATGCCGCTGAGTCATGCATAAAGGTGATACTTCATGTTTTGAACAGTTTTAGAGGCATTTTGCACTGTCTGCTCTATTATTTCTGTGTTGCATGCATTTCCAGCCCTCTTTCTGCATTGACTTCTTCTAATCTGAGACAAAATGTACAACGTTAAACATTTCCTTCAGGCCAAGGCTCATGGGAAACAACTCTGCATGAACTGAGCCATTTGCTTTCATCTTTTTTTTTCTTTCTTTTTTTTATGACACTATATATGTCCTTCACTTTATGCCAGCTCCCTTGTGATCTCTGAGTCTGACTCTCTCTCTGCAGGCATGTTTGCATCCAAGGCTGTCTGTCTCAGTCCTGCTGCTGATCATCTCACCGACCTGTTTGTGTTTTCCATTCCCTTCGTTTCCCAGGTCATTTCAGAAAGGCACCAAATCAGAATGTTTTTGTTTTTATCAATTTCAGATTCACGATTTTAGCAACCCCCTGCTCTGCCAATATTGATTATAGCCAATTCTCTTTCAGAGAATTGGAATTATTCAATTCCTTTCTTAAATAAGAAAATAAACATTCGCTCAGCACTTTCTGCTTAACTGTGCAACAGTGTGGGGTAGGGAAGGTTTGCTGAATAACTGAATAGCAAAAGGTGAATAATAGGAGCTTCTTTTTTTTCTTTTAACATAATTTGAACCAGGTGGAACTAAAATAAGGAACTTGATGAGATTTGGGTAACATATTTACATAAAAAGAAGGTTTTTCATCATGTAAAATGTGTAAATTATTTGCACAATTCTAGCTTAATCACTGTGTGCGCTAGTTAATTAATATGCGACTAAATTAATTGCTGATTAATTCACTAATCGACTCATCACAATCAATCGTTTCAGTCCCCCCCCCCCTTTTCTTCACGCTGTAGCTTCTTTCTGTGATGTGACACTGTGGAAAAATACAACACTTAGAAATAAACTCACTCGACTTCCGATTTTAGCAGTTCCACCATAAACTCATCATGAACTTTTTAGAGAACAGCTTCCACACACAGTCAGCCCACTCCCCCGAGGAAAAGACGTTCTTAACTTCACCCTCTGTCTCTCTCAACGCCTCGCATCATTAGGGCTCTTCTGAAGTTCCCTGAGCTCTATGACAATCAGTAATTGAAAATGAAACCTGCGCTCTGACTCCAACGCTACGTGTCAATCAGACAGCATAGAGGAAGCCAGGCAGGAGGAGGAAATGGACCGAATAAAATGCCTGTTTAGTGTCAGACATGAGGGGAGGATGGACTTAATTGAACGGTAATGTAGGAGAGACAGATCGTGTTATAGAGGGGAGTTTTAGAAAGCACTTTATGCTTAAAACCGTATCCGAATATAAGCGTACATTTGTTCACGCTTGGGTACTTAGTTAGGATTTCTAAAGCCTCCTTTAGATTTTTTTGAGCCCTACAGAACTCACAATATGCAGTAGTAAAGCTAAACATTTAAAATCTAAACAGACCAAGACTACAGAGACGCATTATGTGGCTCCAAAAATGCAGGAAAACGAACCAGATTTGTTCCTTGTCCCTTCCGCTAAAGGCTTCCAGATACTCACTAATCGAGCAACAAAGTTGCCAAGCAGGCAGCAGTGTGCAACATTCACACTCTGCCCAGCAACTGGTCCAGAAGGTAATAGTTTATATGTCTTTTTTTTTTACTGTTTCCTTACAAATTCACTTACAGTATCTGTTCATCAAACTTTAGGTTCTTTGATTGATTTGCATTTCTAACGCTTTTAACATTTGTTATATTCTCCATCGAGTTGCTGAATGGACAAGAAGCCCATGTTTCAACTTTGTGTATTTGACTTCTGTTCACAGTGATTTCATTGGCTCAGAATATCAGCTTGTTAATGTTCATATCTGTCTGTATATAATTTTTGATTGCAATTTTTCAAATGGGGAATTTGTTGTTGTTTTGTAAAAAAAAAAAATATATTTCTTTCTCAATTTTAGGTTTGAAAACAGAGCAAAATAGAAAACTTTAGCATTTTATTTTTCCATATATGGCACGCGCATATTTCAGGATATTTGTGAATCACGCGCGGTTTCCAACAATAGTAACGAGAAAACTCGAGCAAATAACTGCTATTGTTGTTCTGTAATGTAATTTCTATTTATTAATAAAACAAACTGTTTATTATTTTTTAGTCTAACCAGAGCTTCTGCTCCAGTGGAATACATACTTCAAAAAAATGTCCTAATTTTTTGCCGTAATGTTCTGTCCGTCTGTCCAAAGCACTAAATGGACAGACGGACACAACAAAGAGGAAGGAGGCACCTCTGGGAACTTTTCTTCACACTTCGAGCAATAACTGTATGTTCAAATATAGGCTACCTCATGGTTCCAAACTCTGTCGACAGTTCTGCTGGGTCCAAGCCAGCCAGACTCACCAGGTGCGCTGCGGGGCGGGAGTCCATCCGCTCCGGCTTGCTAGCACGAACGCGTCCGTCGCCACGCAGCGTGTCTTTAAGTTTCCCACGCAGACGGCGCGGGACATCGTGGCGACGGGGATTTTACGGGGAGCTCCCCGGACTTCCTGTTCTTCTTGGAAGTCCCGCTTTCAGCAAGAGGAGCGCGAGGAAAAGACAGAGCCCCTGGGAGTCCGCCTCAGTGACGAGCCGCCGGGGGGCGAGGGGGTTCGACCCCTCTGTCCATCGGAGGCGACGTGGCAGATGTTCCACGGGAGTGGGTGTGTGAACGTGTTAGTGAGAGAGAGAGAGAGAGAGAGAGAGAGAGAGAGAGAGAGAGAGAGAGAGAGAGAGAGAGAGAGAGAGACCGTCGTGGTGGTCACAGTGCTCCGCGCGGACCGCTCAGGTGCGTCCGGAGCTGCGCGCGCTCCGCTGCGCTCTGACAAACACGGGCTGATCTCTGAGCAGCTCGAGCGCGTCAGAGGGAGGGAGGGTCCGTCCGTCATCCGCTGCTGCGCGCCGAGATGCGACTTTTGATTCTGACCGAGAGGAGCGTCGATGGATGCGGGGGCGAGGATTAGGACCACTGAGAGAGAGAGAGAGAAAGAGAGAGAGAGATATAGAAAAGAGAAAGAAGTCTGACTTTTTTTTCTCCTCAGAATTTTGGCCTTAAACTTAAAAATCAGGACAAAAAGAAAAAAGTCGAAATTCCGAGAGAAAAATGTAGAATTCTGAAAGAAAAAGGTCCAAATTCTGAGTATTTGTTTTCTTTTCAGTGGTCCTAATCCCATCACCTTGCAGTGGTAAGCCAAAAATATTTACACAAATTTAACTTATCATCTGAGACGACAACCAGATGCTGCAGGATGCTAAAGTGAAACCAGTGATGATGGCAGTAAAAGCATTCATCATGCCTTGTTAATCGGCCGCTAGCAGCGCAGGGATAAAAACCACTGATGTGCTGCTGACACAACAACGGGTTCCACTAAGAACCACACTGAAGGTAAAGACACAAAAACCTCCTAACGAGACACTGAGTGCAACTTCCTCCGTCACAAAATGAAAACAAATGTAACAGCATCAGCTTTCAGCGGCTGTTGTCGAAATCCTACAAAGGCCGTGAGTCATTTCGACTGCTGGTGCCAGACACAAGTGTTTGTTTTGGTTGTATTCGCCCAGAACGCCCTCGGTTGTAGTCCGCTTCCTGCTTTTGCAGCGCTCTCTGGTCCGCTTGGCGTCCACGCAGGTATTAGAAACACACCAGAGTTCACTCCAGCCAAACCGGACCGCAGCGGACCAGAGGACGCCAGAGATCAACCCAAACCTCGCCAAAGTCTGAACCGTTCCTGCATCACACATCACACGGAGGTGTTTGATGAGGTCAGAGTCAACTAAACTATAACCATCTGCCAAGCTTGGATTTTGAAGGTGTGAAGTGGAAATACATACTCAGAAATGATGAAATCAAACAATTTTATAGTCACATAATTTTGTGACAAACGTAATGTTGGCCTTTAAAAAGCTTCTTACCTATTCCGTGTTCTGCGACATGCAATGAAATGCAACATCATGCAACTGCTTCCACCCGGTACCTTCCCTGCTGAATAATTCACTGCCCAGCAAATCCAACATCTTTAAGTCGTGCTTTGAGAAGCAGCATTCCGATTTTTATATGCAGTCAAAACTTGTAGTGGGCTGACAAACTATTAAAATTCATGAGGAGTTCCACAGATTTTACAGCCTGGCCTCCATGTTGGCACAGCTGCTTAATTCAATTCAAAAAGGCTTTATTTATCCCATAGGAACTGTTGATGTTGTTGTAACTCATATAAAAGTTTGTTCAGAGTTGTTGCAGATGCTGATGTGTACGGGCTATTTAGCAATTTGTAAAACTGATACTGTTGTTATATGAGGATGCTGAGAGTTATAAATTATGTTTGCTACTTTACGAATCTCCAGGTGTTCCAGGAGAGTCTCCAGCCGTCTTTATCAGGTTGTTTAGCTTTTTAAAGTCAGTTAGAGAAGATATGGCGCATCTTGCTTCAAACACTGAAAGACCTGCAGTTCATCCAGGAAGGAGTTTAAACTCTTCAATCGCCCCATTTCCCATAATAGCAAGAGCTTAATCTGTTTCTTGAACATAAACAAAACGATGGAGATGACTGTTTTGTTTATGTTCAAGAAAATCTTAATCTTCCTACACTACGACGCAAAGTGGTCCGCCATCTCTGTGTGCTCACTCAGCCTGTTAGTCTCTGATTCGCCCAGTGACTGCAGAATATTTATGTAGATGCAGACGTCTGTATTGGGTCGGAAGTTAGAGGAATACAGAATGAAATAAAATGGTGCGAATACAGTACCCTGTGGTGCTCCTGTGCAGCTAACACACTGATTAGACACATTGTCACTATGGGTCCTAGTTTCTTTACCCACATACAGACCACCAGGAGAACTGATGTGATATTAAATGGAAAGGTTAAAAACAGAGACCAACGAGGCTGATGAGGGTTTAATCTTTTGGCGGATTGGAGGTAGGAGGGGTTCTTGTGGTTTGATCAAACCAGCACGAGATGTTCGGCACCCTCCAACCAGTGCCACCACTCCTCCAAGGCAAGCTTTATAGCTAACAGTTCTCGATCTCCCACGCCATAGTTCCGTTCTGGCAGAGACAATCTGCGAGAGAAAAAGGCACAAAGATGATTTTATTAATTTGGTCAAAGATTTGTGAAAGTACAGCTCCTACTCCAGTATCAAGACTTACGCTGATGATCTCTGCCTTTTTGACATTTCCTCTCAATCTCAGTCAGATTAGAAAGATTTTTCAACTCTTTCTCTGGAATATTGACCTGATTTTGGGACTTTTAAGGTTCCTCTGGAAGGTAAAGCTCTAATATCTAGCATTTTTGTCCCCCATATTTACTTAGATACAGGTTTCCATTTGAATTATGATGCTGCAGTTGTCTGGTTTGCAGTAAAAATGTCATGTGCTGTAAACACAGTGGTGTACGGGTGATGTGTAGTATCCATCACACATTCAATTTTGGCCTTATCCAACCTGAATGTCTCATTTTTTGTTTAGCTTGTTTTTTTAACGCTTGTATTCACTCAAGTTGTCTTAGTCTGATATCTTAAACTTGGCATCGATGTGAAGTCCTTGATGTTCAACACATTTTTAATTGCTGTGTGTTTATGTTCAGACAGGAAAGCCTTCTGATTTCCTTTGCTCTTAGGAAAAATAACAAGGTTTACTTTAAAATGAACTCATTAAAGCAACTGTGTTAACCTTTGAGGTCAAGAGCCTTTCTCTAATCCTCTGTTGTTTTGCCACTTTTCTAAGCTCATGCTACTTGGAAGCTAGCTTGAGGATAAAATAATTTACAGTGTAGTAATAATTAAAAAAAATCAACTCAACAGAATGATAATTTAAAAATGGATTTAAGATATGATGGACATTCACGTCTGCAGATTTAGCCAGATTATGTCATTGAACCAGTGGATTTGGTCCTACACCTACACAACTTAAGCAGCAAATGACAGCAAAGTAAAAATAATTGCCGGGATGAGTTGAATCTGCAGTGGGCCCTAATAATACCAAATCATGTATTTCTAATCTCTTCCTGCTCCCTCCATGGGAGGTATGGCAAGCTCTTAAACCTGTAATTATGGTCCCAACATGTTTCCTAAGTCGTATCCTCAACATGAAAGGAGAAGAGAAAACACAAAGCCTTGTTCACTCCTGATAAAGGGAGAAAATATGTATACTTGCTCTGAATTGATGGGAATTTGTTTCTTTTGTTGAACGGCCAAAGCTGCACCAGAATGTACTCCCACTGAGGATTAATGCTGAAGCTGGTGGGACGGAGTCATCATCCCCAGGGGAAGCGTCCTGGACCGACATGGTGCTGAAAAGCCGCCCAGCGAGGAGGAAGCCATTACTCCGGAAGAACAAACCCACACCCAGACAAAGAAGTTCATTTTTGGAGATGAAACCAAAGCGGAACTATTTGGCCATAATGACCATGGTTACGAGAGGAACTGACCGGAAGTCCAGCAAACTCTTGTTGGAAATGTGTGGAATGATTCCCAAAATGTTTGGTCCAAATCATAAAGTTCAACGGTAATGCCACAAAGTACTGAGGAAATCTATCTAAATGTCTGACTATGAAGACATTAACCAATCATCCATGACAGACTCTTTATTTTTTATTATTGTGGCTTTTAGTAAATGAAACACATTCAGATATTCCAGCTGAACTAAAACGCAAGAAGTTTGCTCTGATTTAACTGCAGACAGTGACAGAAAAATGTGTGCATCTTTTTACTTGATGTAGGTAAACTTCTGGATTCACCTGTATCTGATGACATCTGATGGTGTTTTTGTTTTTTCCAATTAAGAATTTATTCAACGGTAAATCACGGTCATCCGGAAGACATTGATTTATTTCTTCACAGTGAGCATAAGCAGCTTCCAGCAATGTGAATTATGAATCAGATAACACCAGTTTGGCCTTGGGATTATGCCCTGCTGACAAAATGCAATGCTCACCTTCTGCAAGATGTGATGCAAGACCTGCACAGGGTTTCAATATTAATGACACACACAAGCTGATGTGTTTCATCCCATCGGCCCACTGGGGCTCAGCATGCAGCTGCTCTTCGCATGTGATCAAACCCCCTATCAGATGTTACTTCTGCTTCAATGGAAACACTTTGAAGAAATGCTACTCTTACTTTAGTGCAGTTTTTCTGTTTTTGTTTTTGGAGGGGGGAGGGGTGCTGTCGTCAACGTGAATGATTTTCTGGGGGAATTTTTCTGCCATAAATCGAGAGCACACATTTTCAGTCTGAAAACAGGATTTCATCATCCCGCATGGGAAGTGTCCTGGACTGACACGGTGGTTCTCAAAACTTGTAAAACTTGTGCTTACATTTTGAGTTTGAAAGCAGGACTTTGTGTCCTTCTTATAAAAATTGTAATGCTCGTACTCAAAATTTCTGCTCTTTTAAACATTGTCCAAATGCGGCTCAGAGGTTGCCAGGCGACTGCGCTTTTTTGTTCCAAGCACAAAATGTTTCACAAGCGAGCAGAGAGGTTAGCAAGCGGAGACAAAGTTTTGAGTGCGAGGAGAAAGGTTTGAGAAAGCACAGACAATATTTGAAAGAGAGCAGAAGTTTTGAGTACAAACATTCCAAGTTTTAAGGAGAAAGACAAGTCCTTTTTTCAAACTGAAAATGTGTGCTCGAGAATTACACGGGAAAAAATCACCCATATTTTAACCCTTCACTTTCATATGCAAAACAAAGATAAAAACGAAGTCTTCAGTCATATCCAGTTGATGTTTTCAGATTATATTAAAATGAGTTGAAGCAGGAACTAAGAGTTGCAGGATATCAGGTCTTGTGTCCTGGAGTTGAAGACCCCTGATCAAGTGAATGAAAACATCATGGAAGTCAAGAAAGAGAATAAAACTATTTTCTGATATCAAAGCTGAGTAATAAGACAAGTGTTATATTATCAATTATACGGCGTCCAACCATAAAATCATGTTGAGTTTCATGTTGAAATCATGTTGAAAAACTCAACATGAGGAAGTTCTTCAAAATGGAGTAAGGGAGTTAGGTTAGCTATGAAATCATAATCACCTTTTTTTTTTGTCTCGGTGATCAATTTAAAGTTAGTATA